GTCTCCCCTGGAGGAACCAGGATCAGCCTCTTTGCTCTGCTGACCCCAAAGCTATCAGCTACAGCCCTCCAGGAAGGAGCCAACAGCAACTTCATAGCTAGAGTGAGGTTATTTTATATTCATATTTTGGCAAGTTAATTCTGAAAACATGGGTGCCCTTCCCCCCCTCAGTCTTGTTCCTTTCATTTATGGAGTCAGCCTACACAATGTGGTTGCAGCAAGTTACTTTACAAAAGGCATTTGCTGAGCTCGTGCCGATTTCCTCTTTTGCACTTGAATGTCCTTTCCAGCAGAACTATAATTTGCCAGAGTAGTGCACTTCTATAGTAAAATTTCAGGCAGCCCCCTTGGGGTCCACTGAAGCTGACATTAACTACCACTGGTTTAAATACTCTTTTCCGCTGTCTGCACTGCTACTTAATGGCAGGGAACGTCAAAAGCAGTGTTGTAAGGGGCAAAGGCCTTCTTGTCAAACTCCCACTCCCAGCATTTATTCTGGTCCCTTCTCTTGTTTTCATAGAGCAGCTTCAGTCCCTAGTAAACAGGAGCATGTTCACTTCTTGTCTGTGTGGAATGGGCTCAGAGCCACTGCAAAACCTGGACTCTAGGGCAGCCGGCTTTCCCACTGCAATATGTAACCTAGACACTCATTGTTCCCATGGTGTGGGCCTTTCTTAGAATTTATTATACAGGTCTAGATTATTCCTGTAGCAGCCTTTATCTGCCCCGCTGAGCATTTAAGGAAGATATTTTATACTTCTATCTGAAAAGTGCACATACCACCTCCACTCTAGTACCGCCCTTCAACTTTGAAACACCAGCCTTTTTAGAACTGTTACGCACCTGGTCAGGCCTGTGGAGCTTTCATCCTAACTCCAAAATTTTTTATTTGTGAAAAGGCATTTCTGGCAACAACATTGTGAAGGACAATCTTTGTTTCAAAGCAGGAAAGGTGATTAGTAAGATATACTGATATTTCCCCTCTGTTATCTGCAGAGAACTTTCATGCTCAGTTGAGTTTCCCTTCATATTTTTATAACCGTTACTTGAGAGAATTTCTTCAGATTCCAAAAGTGGCTTGAAGGAAAAACACTGGCAATCACTTTCTAACATTCTCACTAGCAAAACTCACAGGAAGAAGGCAGTGGCATACCTTCTTTAGGCAGTGGCACATCTTCAAGGCAGGGATCATTTATTTTCTGTGTTCATATAGCTACCCATGACAAAAAATATTTATTAATATTAGAAACAAGCTAGCCTAAACCTAGATCCTAGTATTGCACTGGAACAGAATGAAGAGGATTCTGGATGTTGGCATGTGCATGAGTACATTAAGTAATCTGTTTTGCCTCAATTCCTGTATTTTTGGGTGAAAGGTGTCAAATCGATGGAGCTGGAAACCAAAATCCTCCATTCACAGCACCAGTACTGCATGCACAAGATCAGTGCAGGCTTCTCCCGCCCTGCCCCACCAAACTGCTTCAACCCTGACCTAGAAGGATAAGCTCTTGGGTTAATACCGATGCAGCTCCACCAGCGCAAGTAACGGTGGGATGGGTAGTCTTGCAGCCAGCATTTAACCACCACGTCCTCTAACCCTGCTTACTGATAACACTTCTAACCCCCTGCTCTGGCACCTTGTCTACACTAGTGCTCTCACTGCTGCTGTTACTAACAGAGCTGTACCTGTTGTAGCAATGGAGGGAAATTTCTGGCCAAAAAAGTAGATAAAGTCTTGGTGTGAATGGAGGGTTCATGCTCTCATTTAGTCCTTAGCCTCTACCAAAAATGTCAGCAATTCGTGACAAATGAAATGGCTTTGTGAAGTGGCTAGGGATTAGCAGCCTGTTTCACTGTCAACCCCATAGAGATTTTTGTATTGGAGCAGGATTTACAGAAGC